TTGAAGTGGATGGGTAGGTGTTGGTGTTTGTTAATAGAGTCTGAAGTGTAAAAAATCCAGCAGGAAGAAGGACTAGCACTTGGATTTAGTCACCTAAAAGGACAGAATTAAATCCAGGTAAAATTTTATGTGTGTGTTTGTGTGTATATATGTGTACATTCACAAACATACACCAGCAACTAACATTTGCAGAACTTCTATCAGGGTATCTCACCAATGAGACTGCTTCAGGCAATGAGGATACAGCTTATTAAAGTCTAGAAAAAACTTTTATTACCATCACTCATAAATGCTTCTACTCTATGAAATGCCCGCATGTTTCATACAACGTTAACTTTAATGTTCAGTTTCTAAAATACAAAAATGAAAAAAAAAATTAACCTATACGCCCTCCTAAATTCTAATTGTCAGTTTATGATAGGAACAAATTTTAGAAACCAGTCATCATTTTTATTTCATATCTTCTTTTAAAAATTCTTTACATTTTAAATTACTTTTATTTTCCCTAGATATTGGATTTAACCACTGATTAGAGGTGAAGGGGCAGAAGAAATTTACTGAAATGATTTATCTTCTATACTTTCCTCACTGAAAAGCAGCCTCAGCTTTACTTCCAGTGAACACATGTATACTTTTATTATATATTATGCACTTTTGTCATTTGAAAAAAAGACCCATTTTAAAGATGTGTGTAGATACACATTTTGCAAAAAAGGAGATAAAAAAAATCTTAAGGGCAGAATTTGATCTGTTTTCCACTTGAGCAAAGCAATCCTCTTCTTAAAGTATGCTAGGAAATGGCATGCTCAAGGAGGTCCTCCTGGATGAACATGGACTGGGAAGAGAGAAGAGCCAAGAGAACCAAGATGCTTTAGGTCTTGTTAGAGGAAGTGCTAGGAGCAGTTAAAAGAGAGGGTAGAGGAGAAATGAGCTGCCATCTTTTTTATTTTTATTTTTTTTATTTTTATTTATTTTTTTTAAAGATTTATTTATTTGTGCATACAGAACTGGGGTACAGGCCAGAGGTTCAGGAGCGGCGAGAGACTTCACCAGAGACAGAGTGGGGAACAGAATAGGCAGATCGACGAAGTACACTGCTGAGGGGAGCAGCGGGCGGGTCAGGAGAGGTCTGCCATGCCATGTGGTCCCTTCCAGGGCAGGCGGGAATCGAACTCATGCGGAAGCGGCTTTAGATTCTCAGTGCTGTGCTTTAACCCGCTGCGCCACCAGGGAGGGCCCCTTTTTTATTTTTTAAGTGATCTTTTTTTAAAGATTTATTAGACATACAGAACTGGTGTACAGGCCAGAGGTGCAGGGAGGCGGTGAGAGGATTCTCTAGAGATAGAGTGGGGAGCAGAACAGGCTGACTGACTCATTAACTATGGAGGGGAGCAGCAGGCCAGACAGGAGAGGCCTACCACGCCATGTGGGTCACCTCTGGGGTGGGGATCGAATACCCACTGAAGTGGCTGTGGCTAGCTTGCTGTGCTGCATCCTAACTTGTTGTGCCACCAGGGAGGACCAGAGCTGCCATCTTTTATACCCCTCCTGACTCTCCAGAATATTCTAGAGAGGACACATGTCAGAGAAAACTATGAAAGCAAGTCTTCTGTGAGGCTGGTATGTTCACAGGAGATCAGAGGCAGAGGGAGCAGAGGGTCTGGATTTTTCTTTTCTGTTAGCCCTGGACAGTCACATTCTCTCTCTTTCCCATCCTCCCTCCTTCTCTCACTCTCAAAATATACCACCCTTCAAGACTTTCAGTGTTCATTCCATGCATATTCTACTCAGAGACCAAGAATTCAGCTACCAAAAGAATTAAAAAATCACAATCTTTTAAAGGTATTGATGAAACATATAAATAATCAAGGTAAAAATAAATATGAATGAAAATAATATAAATAAGGTTACTACTGGAGCCCTTGGGAAGAGAAATTCCTTGGTAATAGAGGCACACAGGTAGAATACACAAACAACGCTAATGTTTCTGGAAAGTAAATTTGCTATCACTAGAAAGAGTCATAAAAACTTGATAAAGAAGAGAATTTCCTGACTCCATCTCTTCTAAGTTATAGTTATAAATAGTAAGGCTGAATATTAACACAAATGACTATATTAAAACATTCTTTGGATATTAAACTAAATCTCCCAAAGCCTATTTTAGGCTTTGCAAATTTCAGACAAGTTCATGTATCTGAAACTCTGCCCAAGATATACTGGCAGTGAGTAATTTGTTGCTATAAGACCTTTTTAGATGGAAAAAACCCAGAGAACTTTGGGTGTTAGAATACTAGAATCATTGCATGTTGGCTCCTCTCCTGTCTGTTTCTCTCCCTAAATATTCAGCCCGAAACTACTATGATTATCTACTCTTTCTCCACTCTGTAAACAGTGAGCCAAGAGACCCTGCTGGATTGGTATGGTGACTACTTGGCTCTGAATTAAATGAATGTCTAAATCGCTAGGATTTCCATTAATGTTGAATTTGGCTGGGTACCCTGAAGGTATAATATTTTAAGCCTCTAAAAATATGTAGGTTCTCAAATAGGGATAGGCTACTTACCTAATTTTTTCCCATGACTAGCATTTTTATTACCCTGTCTACTTCAAATTTTATGCATTTCCAATTCTTGCAGCATATGGCTGCTGCCTACCAGCACTTGATGTGCGCTGGCAGAGGCCACGCACAGCCCTGAAGGATGATTTCCTGGGTGAGTGGTAGGGAGTCCTGCTTTTATGCATTTTTCTACTTGAAGTTCAACTTTTAAGATAAGGTAGACTTAGATCTCTTTTTCTTCCTTCCCACCTCTGTCCTTCGGTGCTTCCCTTCCCCACCCTCCTTGTTTCTTTGTTGAATTTTTCCTTTCCCCAGATAGCCATTTATGCTGTCAGCATTATTAAAGCTTGTTGTCAAGACCTGATAATGTAATCATCATGTAGACAACTCCAGGTGTTTTTAGCGTTTGCTTTTTGCATTCTCATCTATTTTTCAAGTCACTTTGAGTAGGGACTCATTAGTCCTCTGTTTTGTGCTTCTGCTTGTAGAGAATTCCTCAAAGCAGACAATGTGTTGCTTCGCAAGCCTCATCATTCATATTGAGACCCTATGTGTATTTCTGTTTTGGAAAACTACTAGCTTTTACTAAGCAATATTCGAAACGATGGCTGAGTGCAGTTTCGGCTGCACAGGAGGGGCTTGGAAAGACGGAACAGATGTGCCCGAGTTGGGTGGGGTCAGTGACTGCAAGAGGTGGTGGGGACCCTCTGGAGGAGTGGGAGGACCAAGGAGAAAACTGGGAGCTGGCAGGACCGAGCAGTGCTGTCTCAGGACCTGGAGCACAAAAGGCAGGGCCCATTGCATCTCCTCGCCTCATCCTCCACCCCCTCGCTCCCTTTCCAACCCCCTCCATGCAGGAACTATATGACACGTTGGAAGGCAGCAGGCTGCATGTGGGAGTCAAATAGCTGGAAGACGTGAGCTGTCTACAGCTGTGATTGTTCCCTTCTCCTGTCGGGTCTCTTGCTGCCACCGTGGTGTCACTGTTCTCTCACAGACTTGGCGTGGAACCCAACTGCTGTCATTTGATCAGTTGATTTGATTGTATTGATCTACGTTGAGTTACTTATTTTTGCCCAGTATTTTGTGGCCTAAATACTTGGGTTCTCTATCAGTTTTTGATTCATAGAGCTTTAGTTGGCGATAGTCTCAAGCATAAAAGATAATTTTCTGATTGGTATCTAAGTACTCTGCATTAGAGAGAAATCTAAAGTGGTGTGGGAGAGCGAAATAGGCCGCCAGTCCTGTACTACTTTGACGTGTAGATTTTTGAGCTGAAGGCAGTTAGGACCCTGCAGACTCAGAGTTTTTCTCCACCTCTTCCTTAATGGTCTAAAATAATTTAGATCCCTGAGAGTATCACCAGGGATAATCATAACGAATATGAGCTAGATGTGGTAGACTAGGGGTGGGGGACTTGAAAAGGTCTGTTCAAGTCCGCTCTGTGTCCTTTGTCTCTGCATGGCCAGCAAGCACTTGCTAATCTAATATTTGCTCTTCCTATTCCTGTAAATTGTCTTCCTCCTCGTGAAGCCACAGAACCCTATTCCTTTCATTCTGGCTGAGCATAGTATATGATACACAGTCATATATTAGTAATGTGCTTCACCACATATATGTATATATTCATACATATGTGCATAGACTTTCACAGTAGTTCTTCCTTGTCATAGGGGTATACTTCTCAGACCCCCACAGGGTGCCTGAAACCACAGAGTACCAAACTTTATATATATATATATATATATATATATATATATACACACACACACACACCTATGATAGTTTAATTATAAGGTAGGTGCAATAAAATATTAACAGTAATAGCAGAACAACTGCAATGATATAATATAATGTAAGATTTGTGAATGTGGTCTCTCAAAATATCTTAGACATAATATTTTCAGACTCTATTTGATAGTGGATTAGCTAAAACTCTGGAAAGTGAACCACAGATGAGGAGGGACTGCTGTATACATACTCACATGAGAATATATTGCATATATAATTCTTGAATGGAATCTGGACATTCATTACTTACTATGAAACTTATTAAGCCATATAAGGAAATAAATAGGACATCATGCTTTCAGTATTTATGTATTAGAGTGGAAGTCTTCAAACAGTAAATCTTAGTGTTCAGCAAGAAAATGAATTAAGTACTATCTTAATAGCAAATTAATATAAATTTGTTCTCCATGGTTTGTTGCCATTTGGGAAAATTATACTATCAACCAATGTTAATGAGAAAAGCTCCAAATCAGCTGTAAATTGAGAACAAATAGCAAAGGCTGAATGTGCTCTGCATAACATTTAAAATGTCTTAATCCTAATTTCATCTCTTCCATTAGACACCCCTAGCCCTAAGTGCCTCTTTCAGAGGACAACCTGTCTGGATGAAGGAGCAGCGTCGGGAAGGGTAGCCTCCGAGGCGGGCTGAGGCTTAGTCTACTCCTTCCAGATGGGTGTTGGCCACTTTGGGCAGTTGGGGCCTAGCTGAGGATGCTGCTGCTGCTGCTGGGGTTTGCTTATGTAGCTCACCTCCAGGCACCCCAAATGGAGCCTGCTCTCCTGCCAGGGCTGTTAGGACAGAACCAGCTGCCTCCATCACCTGTTGGGAGGCCTTGGCTGGAGACTGTGGGGTTGGACTGGTAGCTTCTGCCTCTGGCTTTTGGGGTGACTGAGCAGCCTGTGCCTGAGAGAGGAGAGCCTGGCCATGGGCTTCTCCTTGGGACTCCTCTGGGGAGTTACTGACCTTGGGAGGACATGCTGCCTCATTACCTCCTGGACTCTCAGCCTGAGAAGTTGGGGGAGAGAAGAAACTCTCTGAATGGTAAGAAGGGCTCAGAGGGGGTTGTTCCTGCTTCCTGATGGCAGAGTCACCGCCCCCTGGAAGACTGCAGAGTTCTGGCTGGAGGTCTTTGGATTGGCCTGGGGTAGGCTCTGGACACTGAATCACCATGAATGCTGTGGCCAGGCTTTTTACAGCATTGTGGACACTGCTGGCTTCCTCCATATCAACCTCTTCACCCACAGGGACCGTGGACTCTGGCTCTTCGTCGGAGGTGTGCTGACTTTGGTCGTCCTGTTCAGGCAAATTTGCTTCTCTAATTTTTTTGTAGAGTTCATTTCTCTCTTGCTGTAAAGCTCGGCAGAGGTTTTCTAGCCTCCCAATCTTCATCACGAAGCACTCATATTCTTTAGCTCTCAACGCTTTCTGTGATTTGAAAACACACAAACACACACATAACATGGCATGAGAAGCACAATTGCCAGGATGCTCCCAGGAGACCAATAGAACCATTTGTTTGGAATGGAATTCACCTACTAGACCTGGGCCCTGGCCACAGAGGGTGACCCACATGTCAGAGACGCCACTGCTGTTCTTCATTGTGTCCTTTACTCTGGTTAGAATTTTAATCGTTCTGGTAGAATTTAGGAATGAAAAATGGCAAAGCTTCCCTTTGCCTCAGTCCAGGGCCTTTAAAATGTTAAAGTAGATGAATTTTCTGCTTCCAAGATTTAGAAGGCATAAGCTAAAAGCTTGTGGCAAAATGAATGACACGGCCTGGGATTTGGCTGTCAGTTGTGCCTTATATTCTGTAGATTAACTGCCATATGCTGATCCAGCAACTGCTTGATCTATGTTGATGAATAATGAGTACATCTCTTTGGAATATGTTGCAATTTGGGATGAATTATTAGAACAGTAATTATAACCAGAGAGACTCACCATGCACTAATTCATGATGTTGGCTGCTCATATTCTTGATTCTCCTTTTTTCCCCTCTCTAGAAATGGCGATGTGTTTGTGCATGAAAACATTCCTATTCTTCTTGCTCCGTCACCCCTGGCCCTCCTCTGTGCCACCCTGTGTCCTTTAAGACTTTACCATTTGTTTATGTGGAGAGAATTTCACCGGTCAGCTCTACCACCCACATCCATAGTCACATGTCTTTCCCTTTATAGTTTCAGAACCTCGTCACATTCTGACATAATATCCGTATTTAAATGCCTCTGGGAGGAATTCAGTGCTGTCTCTCATATCTGTCTATAAAGCAGAACACATCCTAGGAGCTTGGACTGGTGTGTTCTCTCAGGGAGGGCAAATCATCTGTTCATTTGTCTTGCAACTGTGACATGCAAGTTAGACACTCATCCTTCCCTTAAGGAGTCCATAGTCCAGCAGGCATGAAGCTGCTTTGGGGACAGCTTTGGAGTCAACAAGTAGGCATGGGACTTAGAGGGACAAAGTTCTTTATGAGCCTGAACCTGGTTTGTAAGTGACTCTTTCCTTAATTATGTTTTTATTACAATTTCATCTATCATTTCCTGGAAAAATTCAGTTTCTTGTACTATTAAGTTATTAATTCCCAAATATGACTGTCTTGGTTAGACTGGAAGCTAATGGACAAGCTTTCTCACCTCCTCAATCATGTCCAGCAGAGCTTTGTTGCAGTTCTCAAACCGGGCTTTCCATGTGGCTGTGTCCTTCTCTAGCTTCTTCATTTTCTTAGTTGTCTGCAGAAATCAGAGTGTTCTAATGTTATTCTTGAGAGTTACTATAGCAAAGGAACTATTAGTTTCATTGGTGACATCAAGAAAAGCTCTGTGTTACCAGTTGCTGAAGTAAACAAAAGCTGGATGTCAAGGAAGAAGGTTGAGGGGGAGACTCAGGGTTTATTGCTGAATCATCTAGGTCAGAGGTGAACAGCCTGATCTGAAGCAGTTACCCTGGATAAAGCACACTACTTATTGCTATGTTGCTTTGCCATTGCTTTTTCCTCATTTAGCATAAAAATGAACTTTACTGCATTCCCAAGAATAAGCGTGCACATTCGATTCTTACTTTATTGATAGAGGCTAACAGTGAGAAAACTGGCCAGTTTGGTTTTTTTTAGCCATTATGATGCTGATACTCTTGGGCACATCTGAGAAGTAGTCACACAAAGGCAGTTGCTATTTTCTTGGCCTTTACATTTGCAGAGTGTGTGGGAATCATGAAATGTGGTTATGTATGCTATTTATCTCATCCTTGAGACAGCCCTACAAGAAGGTGCTGCTCTTACCTCTACTTTATCAGTGGGGGTGCTGGGGTCAGAGAGGTGGGGTAGCCCTCAGGCACTGGGTTTTGCTTTTTGTTTCCTTTTCCCATTGGATTCTACATTCATGGGTTCTAGCAACCTTGATCTCTCCCTGAAGACCAGGTTGCAGAAACCACATATATAAGGACAGTTGACCATGAATTGTATTTGGGTTTTCAATGGGGAGTAGAGGAGCTAGTCAAGGGTCGACTACATCATGCCATGTTTCTTTCCTTCTAAGGAATGTATAAACTGGCATTTTCAACTCTAACATTCTACTCTTTATATTTACATGAAAGTTTTTTTAATATAGATATTTTTTGATTTCAGTTTAAACATGATGCTAATTTTTGTTTGTTTACAAAAAGTTTTCCACAGACCAGGAAAAGAAAATATTTTTTTCCTCAGAATAAGAATGAATCCTTGTGCTTTTGGACTCATCCTAAGAACAATCTACCAGTTACTTACCAATAAAAAAATATAGTCTAAATCAAATTGTACCTATAAATGTTTCATTACCTCATGAAGTACACTGAAATATCTTAGTGAGAGAAAAATGAACCCAAAGAAGAATTGCCTGTCAAAGTAGAAAATACCAATATTTTGTGGGAGGTAAGCAATACTCACTTTATCCATTTCCTGTTTGAAAGTAGCAAACACCTCATTGCTTTTTGACAGCGTGCCCTGAAATTCTTCAAACCTTCCAGAGTAGAGAGTAAGCTGTAAACAGGAAAAAAAAGTGGATCTCCTTGAGGGCAACTAAGAATGCTTCTAGAACAAAGCAACATGTTTTGTTTGAGAGGAAAAATGATTTAGAGGAATTCTCAATATAGTGTTAATAGTATTCAGTTCTTTATTTACAATGAGATCAATCTAGGCCAGTGAGTATGATTAAACTACAGAAAAATGCAATAATAAAATAGCATCATCATTGCCTTATAGGAACTTTTCCTACAAAACTATTTATTGAGCACTGAGCAGATGTGTGAATGCTATTCACAGCAGCATTTAACATGTATCTCCTGCTTCTGAGGGGTCCTGAACTCCTGAGGGCCAATTCCCAGGAGAACTCCCTTAGGAGACAGTGAATTTGAACTACAGGTCAGGTAAGGACCACAGTGACCAGAGAAAGAGCTGTGGTTTTGTGAAGAAGGTCTTCAACCTAGTCTTCATGGAATAAGAATGTAGCAAGTGCAAAGGAGTGATAAAGAAAACGTGGCCAGACATGGACAAGTCACGGTTTGTGTGCAGGTCATGCCAATATAAGCAACTGCCATTTCCCTTCACAAGTGTTTTTGCACATGTGTGAACACGGTATTCTAGCCAATAGCAGTTCATGTCTCTCTTCACAAAATCAGCTTAGTAACCAGTTGTCTACAGATGGACGTGACGAGCCTAATGATGGGGTGCTTTTTTCTTATTTGCACCAAAAAGATTCATGCTATGGGTTAGCAATCCTCAGCATCCCTCAGGATCCCTCAGCATGGGCATATAGAGAAGAGCCTTTATACTTATGGGCTGTATCCTTATCTCCACAGCTTGCATTTGAGGTTGGAAAAGGCAGGACAGAAGACGAAGTGTGTAAGTATGTGTAAGTGACAAAGATACAGTAAGAAAATCTGACTTTTGAAAATGACTTTGGGTAGCATGTTTTGAGTCAGTGGAGGTTTAATATAAGTGACTCAAGTAAGTAAAGCCAATATTTAAAAATGAGTCTGTTCTCCCTGGTGGCACAACAGGTCAAAGCACGACATTATGAAGCGCGCCAAAGCCCACTGCAGCATGAGTTCAATCTCTGGTCAGGGAGCTGACCCACCTGATGCTGCAGACGGCTCCTGTCTCTCCCACTGCACCCCTCAGGAGTGTACCTCTTTTATCTGCCTGTTCTGCTCCCCACTATGTCTCTGGTGAATCCTCTCACCCACCACACCTCTGGCCTATATGCCAGTTCTGTAAGCATAAATAAATAAATTTTTTTTTTAAAGTGAGTCTTTGGGAACCTTGAGTGTTTGAGAAACACAAGCCCGTGAATGAGCATACAATGTCTTCTGGAGGAAGAAGGAAACTTGCCACCTCCAACACCAAGCCTGCACCTGAGGCCACTGGTGAAGATGGGCAGGTGGCGACCAGGCAGAAGGGGATGCTCACTGGCCAGATGGTATTATCTGTGAGAGTTGTCTCGGAAGCAGAGAAGAGCAAAAGACAGTACTGGAGAGCTCCTGGCATGTGTGTGTGTGTGTGTGTGTGTGTGTGTGTATAGGGAGTGCATGTGTCAAACAACCCCTAGAACTGGAATATTTATCTAGAATGATTCATTCTTATAGAATGGTTCGTTCTTAGATGACCCAGATCAGCAGAGGCTTCGTGCAGCAAATAAGAACAGCAAAAGGATAATGTAGCACCTTTTTGGAGGGTACTGACTTTGGAAGAGAAGCCAAACAACAGCTTACTGTAATTTTGAAATCATTCATTAGCGTCCTCAGTGCTGTGCTCATGTGACAGAGATTACAGTGATTTTGGTGGCCTGAACCTTGCTTTTCATGATTTCTTGGTGTACACATGATAGAAGAGTGGGTTAAGGGGCATCTTGGAACTCATGACTAGGATGGCAACCCAGGGATGTACACACACAGCATAAGATAATGTGTAAAACTCTTGACAATCTATTTACATCCGTATTTTCCCCCCAGAGTTCTGGCTGGGATCCACTGTATTGATTTTGACCCACTAACAAGCCAACCTCCGTGTGACCACCTGTACGGCAGGTGATCGTGATCTAGTTCAACAACTACCCCAATGATTCTCTTCATATTCTGTCACCAATTCTGTTAATTTGCATTCTTGGCTAATCACTCTCGTTAACTTCCATTTTTTACTTCCTCTCCTTTCTTTTTCCAGGGTTTCAGTAATGACCTGGAGGTGTCAGATACCATGAACCCCTGAGCCGTTTTCTCCAAGTACTCTCTAGCAGGCTTGTAGTTGAAGCCTGCAGACAGTAGTGGCGGCGGTCAGGAGTGAGCGCATGCGCAGTCCACCTCCCAGTTGTAGCCCTGTCCCCTTCATCAGAATGATGGATCCTTTGGTGTATCAATTAAGCAAACTTTCCCTATTTTTTCTTAACACAGGAAGAAGACAGATAGCCCAGTGCTAAGAACTAGTGACTCATTTCATTACTATTAAATCTTTTTTCTAGTGACTTAGTTTTTGTTTTCTCAACTTAAAAAAATACACCTTTTAATGAAATGAACATAAAATTCACCAGCTTAGCCATATTTTGCTGTGTGGTTCAGTGTTAAATATAGTCACATTGTTGCACAGTGCAGAACTTTCACACAAATGAAACTGTATTCATTAACTCCCGATTTCCTTTTTCCATTTTTAATACACTGCTTTTCTTCCTACTTGACTTCTTTGTCACAGGTCACCAAATCTAGTGCTTTCTCCTTATGCCACCTGTAAGTGAAATCCTTCTGCTGACTCGGTGTGATTTGCTCAGTCTGCTTTCTCTTTCTCTCTCACTATTATGCTGACCCGAGGCACGGCTGGCTCGTGTGTCAAGTCCCTTTCTCCTGGAGCAGGAAGGGACATCCAGCGTCATCCACAGTACCTCTCCTGTCTGGGGCAGTAATAGAAATAAACTATTCGAGGTCTGGTAATAACAATAATTGGCCCAATATATCACTCTTAAAAGGACTGATCAACACACACATTCTTTTGACTGAGCACTAAAATTTAATTGCGAATACTCACAGCATATAGGACACAGAAATGTGTGCAGGAATTGTCTGAGCGTATTTGTGAGGTTTGTTTGGGGAATAAATCCAAGTCTAATAGTGGTTGCAGAGGAATCACCTCTCATCCTATATAAATGAGCTGAGGATTTCTATGTTTAAAGACTATGGTTATCCATCATTAACAACTTACTCCCTGATATTTCCCCTTGGACAGCGTTTTATGTCCAAATGGTCAGATATTGCTGATTTTCCATGTCTTCTGCCATTTTCATCCTATTGATCCAGTGAACACTCTATTTGTAGCAACAATTGTATCTCATTGATCATCTCTGGCATTTACTCTACTGTATAATTGAGCCTCGTATCTCTTCCCTACTTAAGAATCAAACACCAAACAGACAACCTGTTGTTTTATGACTAAAAAGTGACTTTGATCTAGGGAAACATAGTCTGTCCTTGACATTTCCCTTGCTGAGAACAAGAGATGGGTACTAGCACAGTCCTTTGCTCCCATGGCTTTTTTCTTTTTTAAAAGATTTATTTATTTATGCATACAGAACTGGGGTACAAGCCAGAGTTGCAGGGGCAGTGAGAGGCTTCACCAGAGACAGAGTGGGGAGCAGAACAGGCAGATCTACGAAGTACACTGCTGAGAGGAGTAGCGGGTGGGTCAGGAGAGGTCTGCCGCACCATGTGGGTCACCTCCGGGGCCAGGATTGAACTCACTTAGGCGGCTGCAGCAAGCTTGCAGTGCTGCGCCTTAACCCACTGCGCCAACAGGGAGGGCCTTGCTCCCATAGCTTTAAAGGCATTGTAAAACCTAAGGAAATGGTTCTAAATCACGTGAAAAAATATATGCTAGGCTGGTTTTCAAGGTTTAAAAATTAAAAAATATAATCTTGGGCCTTCCCTGGTGGCGCAGCGGGTTAAAGCACAGCACTGAGAAGCTAAAGCCACTTCCGCATGAGTTCGATTCCCACCTGCCCAGGAGGTGACCACATGGCGTGGCAGACCTCTCCTGACCCGCCGGCTGCTCCCCTCAGCAGTGTACTTCCTCGATCTGCCTGTTCTGCTCCCCACTCTGTCTCTGGTGAAGCCTCTCGCTGCCCCTGCACCTCTGGCCTGTACCCCTGTTCTGTATGCATAAATAAATAAATCTTTAAAAATATATATATATAATATTGATGTTTTCCAAGAGGAACTTGCTCAAACATTTGAGGCATTTCTATTATGCTGAATGATTATTAGATTTTGAAAGTGTCTTGAAGACAAAAAAAGATAGACTAAGGAGGGTCCTTGCAGAGAAAGTCTCATGTTGTGAAGATGGCAACGGCAAAGGCAGTGTTAACTCAGCGCAGGGCCATCCTTCACCTCTGGAAGTTCTCTGATTCGTGGGCTGCCCAGGATCTCCAGATCATCTTTTCCAGTGGTCCTTAAATTCTTCTATAATTAAAATCCCCTGTATTTTATATGTATGATTATCAGTCATCACCTCTGAAATAATATGGATCTTTGACTAACGATGGGGTTATATTCTGAGAAACCCATCCTAAACGGAACATGCATTTAACAAATTTTAATACACTTAACCTACCTATTTAAACACACAACTAGCCTAGCCCACCTTCAAACTTGCGCATCAAACTTACATATTCTACAACTGGGGGAAATTCCCTAACCAGAGCCTATTTTTAAAATGAAGTGTTGGCTATCTCTGGTAACTTACTGAATGTTTTACTAAAACGGAAAACCAGAATGTTTTATGAGTTCTCATCATTAATGTAATAGTAGAAAGCATGCCGAGCCTAAGAAACATTGGAAGAATTTCTCTGAGACTAATCACTGGGGGATGGGTCACTCACTAGATTCTCTTTCTTTTGATGAGGCTTAAGTTCAGAAGGCTGTTTCCCTTCATGATTTCAAGGTTGACTTGAGCTGTCTCTCAAACCACTGCCAGCATCATAAGAGATCATGCTTTAGCCCAGGAAAATATCAAAATTCAAAATTCTCTGTACAACCTCTACTGATTGCACACCTCTTTTGCACCACTGCAAAGCTGAACATAGTTAATTGAACCATCATAAGTTGGGGACCATATAAACTCATTTTAGCTCATATACTAATTAATTGTAAGTATTTTTATTAACATTGTCAATAAGGCAGGACTTTTTGCATATTTTATTCATTACTATATCTTTTTTTTTTTTTAAAGATTTATTTATTTATTTGTGCATACAGAACTGGGGTACAGGCCAGAGGCTCAGGGGCGGTGAGAGGCTTCACCAGAGACAGAGTGGGGAGCAGAACAGGCAGATTGACAAAGTACACTGCTGAGGGAAGCAGCGGGCGGGTCAGGAGAGGTCTGGCTCGCCATGTGGTCTCCTCCTGGGCAGGCGGCAGGCAGGAATCGAACTCATGCGGAAGTGGCTTCAGATTCTCAGTGCTGTGCTTTAACCCGCTGCGCCACCAGGGAGGGCCCCATTACTATATCTTTAACAATCAGAATCGTGCTTAGCACTTAGGGGGGGCCTCAATAAATATTAATTGAATTAATTATGGTTATTATGGACCAGGCACTGAGCTAAGTGCTTTGCATACTTAATTTGAAAACAAACTGCATTTATTACATATTCATTTCCCTTTTAAAAATTAAACAGGAATAATTACCATTCATAGTTGCTGAGTGAGAACTGATATAATGTCAAAATCTCCCTACATTTTGATAGTCACTGCTGCCTTATATGCTGTTGTGGTCTGGAAATGCTGGAAGGAAATGGGCTTGTCAAGGTCACGAAAAAGCTTGGGATCATTGCTCCATCACAGTGTTTTAAAGATTTATTTATTTATGCATACAGACTGGGGTACAGGCCAGCAGTGCAAGGGTCAGTGAGAGGATTCACTAGAGACAGAGTGGGGAGTAGAACAGGCTGATAGACTAGGTACACTGCTGAGGGGAGCAAAGGGTGGGTTAGGTGAGGTCTGCTGCGCCATGTGGGTCACCTACCTGGCTGGGAATCGAGCTCATGCTGAAGTGGCTTTAGCTTCGTGGTGTGGTGTTTAACCCGCTGCGCCACCAGGGAGGGTCTCCCAGTGTTGTTATTTGTCTGGCAAAGAAATTTAGGCCTAGAAAGTTGAAGGTGAACTGCAAAGGACCAGACAGCTTCTTAGCATAAGATCTGGAACTCTGACCCTACTACCTGGCCAGATTCCAATATTGAGGGATAAAGGAGGAATATTAGCAAATCTAGTTGCTTTTCCTAGTTTGAGGTAGAGGTAGGAACTTTGATCACAACAGTGTGTTTTTATTACAAATGCCACTGAAGGCCTTGTGATGCTGACTGAATGGATTGCTATCTAATGATATTCATTTACTCCTCCCAAGTTCATGATCTTCGTTTGTCATAGAGACTTAGAGATTGATTGTAATAGATGATGTGAACAGTGAATAACTTCAAGTAGTGTCTGTTGTACCCCTCAAGGCTCTGGATTGTGAATGGGACAGAAACCAGAGTCCCAGGCTTGATTCTCTTGACATCCCCAGAAAGGTGGTCATGCCCTCTTCTTCCCATCACTGCCTGTGGTTAGCAAAGCCACCTATCCCATTTTCCCATGCTATGATGGGTTCTGTGATTGCCTAAAGAATGATCTTGAGGGTCTCTCTTTGGTGGCACAACGAGTTAAAGCACCGCATTATGAAGCTCTCCGAAGCCACTGTAGCATGAGTTCAATCCCTACCCACATAGCGTGGTAGAACTCTCCTGACCTGCCCACCATGACCTTAAGCAGTGTACTTTGTCAATCTGCCTGTTCTGCTCCCCACTCTGTCTCCGGTGAATCCTGTTACCCATCACAGCTCTGGCCTGTACCCCAGTTCTGTATACATAAATAAATAAATCTTAAAAAAAAAAAAAGAATGATCTTGAATCTGTAACTCTAACATTTAGTATTGTCACTCTGGGTCCTTTGATTCTATGACTAGTACAAAACATTATGGTTTCAATTTCTATGCAATTCATACTTTAAAACACTTAGTATATTATATTACAGAGGGTAAATAATTCACCACTGCATTCAGCACCCAGATCCAAAAGGTATGACTCAAAAAGGCTAGATAGCAGTGTTATCTGTGTTTTTGTTTATGCAGCAGTATAGTTTATGATTTTAAGTTTTTAGAACTTTTTATAATGAGCAAATAGTCACTGAATTTTTTCATTCACACATTGAACAAGCTTTTTTTTTTTTTTTTTTTTTTATAAAGTATTCATCAGTCAGCCCATAAACCTTACAATGGAATTACCCACATGTTAAGTTAATGCTTCCCGGCCTGGTTCCTTCACCTGCTGTGAGTTTGCTTGATGTGATGCCTAGTTCCTTAGTTCTGGGGCCTGCTTTGAGCAGGGGAGCTAGACCCCCTCTGCAGCCCAAGGCAAGGTGATTCTACAACTCACAAAATGCTTGTAGGAGGAGCAGAGGCCATGGACCTCTGGGAAAGATGGCTAGATCTGACATCTGGTTGTGTGAGGCTTTATTTCTGAGGCTGAAATAGGAATTTCTGTAGTCAAATCAAAACATACATGACATTCTGAAGCCAAATCAAAATGGTTCCCAACTTGCCCACTATTCTGAGTCACTTGTCATCAACAAGGGAATCCTTTGAAAACACAAACTCTTGGGGGCTGACACTATTTTCTAATTTCCTCTTATTATAAATAAATCAAGCAACCAAGGATATTTTAGTATTTATAGTTACAGACAATGTATCTGAACAGTTTAGCTTTGCTCTGACTTTAATAGGGCAAAGGAGGAAAAGAGAGACCAGAGCACAGCGAGGAGGGAAGAGGGTACCAGCTTCCTCTGGTTGACCACCTGGTGTCATCATTTCCATGTCAACAAACCTTTGGACTGGATGTTAATGCAGAGAAATTCTTTTTCTTAGATGCAATATTGTGCTTGAATTTTGCATTAAAATCATGGAATTTACTCTTCATTTCCTACCTTTTCCCCCTCCCTCTTCCCCTCATGGAAAGCCCTGTGCAAACTACTTTGTCACACAGCCTCTTTCCTTGGAAACCGAGGACAGCACCTCTGTGCATTGCTGACGCTCCACCCCCCCCCCCCCCTTCACCTGAGTCTGCAGGACTGTCTCTTGTTCCTTTAGCACTTGGGCCTGTAGTTTCCATTCTGCTGCCTGGTTCAGCAACTGTGAGAAGAGTAAATGCATGGAAAGACTGTCAAATTGTCTCTTTAAAAAATGAATTTTATCTCAAATTGTATTTTAAAAGACTAAATGCTAAAAACAAAACAAAACCCCACCATTCCATGTTGCATGCATATCTGTGATGTTTTAAAGATTAGAAGATTCCACCACTATTTCCAGTAACTCCAGTTTAGACTGTATTTGCAGGGAACTCAGAAAGAAAATGTTTAAAAATTCACTTGACAACATTAGAAAATACATTGTACAATTTGACAAAAAGAGGAAGCTTTTAGAAAGTTGTTTCACTAATATGTGAAGCATATGTATCATCAAATAGTATTTTTAAAAGATTTAAGATTTGATTGTAATGCATATATAACTTAATAACTTCTAATTAACCAACTTAGGTAATGTTTGGAAACTGTGTAAAGAATCCAAGCAAGCCAAGAGTTGGATTCTCAATTAATAGATAGTGGCCTAATGGAAAACAGAGAAATCCAGCTGAAATATGGGTCACACAAAATCTTAGCTTCCTACCAAATTCTAGAAGCTTACTGGTAATTTGGCCCAAAGGTCAGGTGGCCTCTGCTTGCAGGTCTTTGAACATCTCCAGACCACACCCTCCACCCTAACCATTGTCACTGTAGTGCCTTACTATTAAACCCAAAGTTTTCTTTTTCCCCAGACCACTATTCTTCATCATTGCATGCACCAGAATTTCCAGGAAGCACATTGGGAGTCACTGCCCTCTGCAAGAACATGAGTTAGGAAGCACAGGTATGTTGACTTCAGAAATTAATCTTTTTAGTAAAAGCACTTATACCTCTGGTTTGAAATGATCCAGTGTCCACCAAGCTGTGTTTTGCAAACTTCACCCCTTTGTTGCCATGTTAGAAAACAACTTTAAAATGACTATTCTAACAAATGGAAGTGACCTGGTTTGATTTTAGATAAATGCATATAGATCAAGGTTAATTGTCAAATGATCACATTTGACTAATTGGTTCATTGAATGTGTCTGAACTCTCTCGTCTCTTCCCCCACAATACATAGTTTAGCCCATGGCCCAGGGCCGCCTGTGAGTATGATGAGCCATCATGGGCCATGATGGGATTGGAGGCAGGTGCACTGGAGATGTATTGGGGATTGTGATATCATGTCGGGGATACTATGTATCACCTCAAACAAGTAGGCTCCAAGCCTCATCTGCAAAATTGTCCACAGCATCTTGGAAGGCTTGGGGTTATTAAAGTCAGTATTATTCGATTTCTTAAGCCAAAACTAAGGTGTCATCCTCAACCCTCTCTTTGCCCCCCAACACCGTCTTCAGCATTGCTGACTGATTGTTCATAGAAGACAGCTTTGATCTGTGTCCAGTTCTCTGCCAGTGCAGTAACTGCCTTTCTACTCACTTTTGGGTCATTTTTCCATCTAAGAGCCAACTTTATTCTTTACACATACAAAGCTGCTGACTCCCTTTGCTAAAACCACCCAGGATTTTCCCACTGTATTTAGAATCATATTCAGACTTTCTGAGAAGTAAGGTTTGGGCCTTCCCTACTTCTCCAACTTCAGTTAGAAGCCTTCTCCCACTGTGTCAGTATCATCTTGCCTCCCTAGTTTTCTCCTATTTTTGGAGAATGTGAGGCTGGTCCAGCGTCAGGACCTCTGTCACTGCCTCCGCGGTGGGCTGGGCTCCAGTGCCCAGGGTAAAGTAGTCCCCTCCTTCTCTTCCTGCTCAGCTCCTCATTTCCCTGGTAGTACTTTATATGATCTGAAGTTGCCCTTTCTTGTTTGTTTGTTGCAGTTGGGTCTGCATGCTGAGGCATGGCCTTTTTGGTCATGTTCACCACTGTGTCTCAGCACCTGGGATCATGGGTAGACTGTGGAAGGCTCTGACAAACATTTGTTGAGTGGATGAATGACTACGTTCTGTGAAAAATGGGTACTGGGCTGGCTAATTTAGTTTTGCAAGGAAGCTCAGGGTCTCTCTTCACCAGATTAGTGCTCTCTGAGCTTAGTCAAAATAATATTCCAGGCCTCCCTGTGGCACAGGCTTAAAGTCTCAGTTAACAGGCTAGCAGCAGCCACTGCAGCATGAGTTCTATCCCCAGCCAGAAAGGTGACCCACATGGAGCAGCAGACCTCTTCTTTCTGACCTGCTACTTTCCTCAAAAGTGTATTTTAGTTGATCTGCCTGTTCCGCTCCCCACCTTGTCTTTGGTGAAACCGCTCATCCTCTGCACCTCCAGGTATACCCCAGTGCTTATATGCAAATATAAATCTTTAAAAACAGAAAACAAAGGGCCCTCCCTGGGTCAGAGCACAGCACTAAGAAGCTAAAGCCTCTTCAGCATGAGTTCGATCCCCGCCCCAGAGGTGACCACATGGTGTGGCAGACCTCTCCTGGCCCGCCCACTGCTCTCCTCAGCAGTGTGCTTCTTCACTTTTCCTGTTCTGCTCCCCACTGTCTCTGGTGAATCCTCTCGCCACCCACACCTCTGACCTGCACCCCAGTACTGTATGCACAAATAAATACAGCTTAAAAAAAAAACATTCCAAGGTTCTTGGGCTCTGCAGCAGACAGAAAGCACACCGTCTCAAAGGATAAATACATATTCCTTTTCGCGAGCGTGTCGCTCCTCAGCTTCTTTCATCATTTCTTGAGCCTCCTCTAGTTTCGCATCCACCAGCTTCTGTTGCAGTTCTCGGTGCTTAAATATTTTGTCCAGATGCTGAGGACAAATAAAGTACAGACATCAAGCTTGATATATGACTGGTGCTAAAAATGGAAAATAAAAAGGCAACATTCACATAAATACATCACTGGGTTTTAAGATATTAAAAAAAGCAAGGAATAAACCTATTTGCCTCCCTTAGGTAAAACGTATATAATTGTTAACGTGAAATAACTTTATATGAAATACTTTATATTAAAATGATTTCACTTAAAAATATGTAAAGATTGTAAATTCCTGAAGTTGCTGCATTTGATACTAGACAGAGATAGCTGGAAAAGGTGGAGAAGCTGGAGTTCACAGTGTTATCACCAAAGGACATATATTACAAGTGATGTATATTGCAAGGCTGTGGTGTGCTCACTCGGTATTTTCGGTCTTTCTAGCAATCATAACATTAGAGCAGTTGCTCATGGTGAATACCCCTCCCTTTCTTTCCTGGAGGGTTGTGAGGAAGCTCTGGGATACCTCTGTGGCCTGGGTCTAGGGCTGAAGCAGAGCGCCCTGACTTCACTTCTGGGGCTCAGTGGGGCAGGTCATGACCAAGGGTGACAGGTAGATCAGTGTGCAAATGTCTGAGTGTCTCCACCATGTCTTTAGGTCTCTACTCTTAATATCTCAGTGTGGAGAGTTTCTTGGTCACTCAGAGGTCCCTTGGGCAAGATGGTGTGTGGAACTCTATGCTGAAGCCTTCTCCTAAGAATATGCAATTAGCATCTGGGCCTCTACTACCTGAGATCTCTCTGGGAGAGTCTGTACTTTTTTGTTTTTTAGCTCTTTCCCTTTTAGCTTGAAGCTCCACATAGGAGCAGGACTGTTCTTTTTTTTTTTTTATTAAAAAGTTTATTTTTACATCATTTTGCACATTTTTTTTTCCATCTCCATTGTAATCCCCGCGGGTTTCCCATCACCAAATCACCCCTGTGCCACCACCATAGTCCCGTGCATTTCCCT